AAAAAATAAAAATGCTGATCTTATTCAGGGAATAAGGGGCCTTTTCGTTTGCCAAAAAGTGTAATAGGAAAACTGAAAGGCCACCTGTGTCAGCCCACCCTATAGTATGAACATGAGCTATAAGAACATTTTGGAAAATATTTTTAAACTGAGATGAGAAAAAATATCAATATCAATTAAGATTCCAAGCAGATACAAAAGGCTTCTGTGCATGGTAGTGATTATGTGTGTGGCCTACACAGGCTAATTTCAGATGCCTCCAAAACTCAGTGTACTTTCTCTTTTATAAGCTATTTGGGATTAAAACTAGGATTTCATCCATTTCAACTTTAACAATGGACACAAACACAAGGTCAGATAATCAAGCCAAACAAATTGAATTTTCCCCTTCACAGATGGCTGTTTTAATCTTAAATGACTACTGAATTCTACCAGACATGCTACACTTAACATTTTGACAGTTGTTTATTAAAATTACTTTCCTTAGAAGTCCTGTGAAACAAACAGTGTAGTTTTTATCAGAATTGAGCGATCAGAGAGAAGTTGTGCTGATAGCACACTCGCAGCAAGCAGACAATAGGAAACTCTTAGCACTCCCAGAGTTGCATCATATTTTCCATAGACCAAAACTAAAATAAAATATTCAATTACTGAGAGGTAGATAAGTGAAATAAACATCTAATTTCATGGTGAAGTTGGGAGAGACTCATATGGACCTCATTCTGTTGTCTCCAAACACTTTATCGAAGGGGGAAAAGGAGCTGAAAAAACTTTAAACTCTCATGTAGGGATGTATTGCCTGTGTGTCCCTGGCAGATGTGGAAAGGAGATGAAATGGGCAAGGGAGAATCAAATATCCCATCGCTGCAGGTTTGCTGAGGGAAAGAGCACTGCAAAGATCTCACATCTGGCAATCATTTGTCAATAGCTGGAAAGAGAACGGCAGGAAACTTTCTGGCTCTTGGAGAAGATGAAAAGACAAAACCCATGTGTCACACACACACACACACACACACACACAGCAATGGGGTACAATGACTACTACACTTATTCTGCACCCCTCCTTATCCCCACTAAATTTAATGATCTTCAGATATACTCTACTCCATGGTCAAAAACATGCACTCACTTGACTTGTTAAAGCTGCAGTGTACGTACATTTTTCAAATAAACCCCAGGGCTGATGTTAGAAAATCAAAATCAGTCAAGCATAGACCGCCTGGTACTTTGGGCAGGAATCCTTGTGGTTTAGTCAATAAACAAAATCTGAATGAAAGACACCACAGTAACTAGACAGTAACGTTTTGAACAGTTCTTAACCTGAAGGGGGCTGGGGAAGGCGGGTGCACTAGTGACCATGGATGTCAGTCTACCAGTCCATTTACATCACTCACTCTACCTGTGATACAACTGTGTTCAGCACAAGGTCATCTATTATCTCTAACACACACTAAAAAAAGTGAACTTATATTTGAGGGAGGTTGGGAATGAATTTGGGGAGGAAGCTGTTGGGTTTTTTAAAAAATAATTATACCTATTTAATAGGGTAGGAAGAGAAAATCTCAGGTTCTGTTTAGTTCATACTGGTGATAACAATATAAAAAATTTGCTAACTTCATTGTGAATTAATAAAAATGACCAGGTTTATTTCAGTCAGTTTATCATGTAATAAAAACTTTTCAAGATACCCCACACAAAATTAATTAACTTGTCCAAAAATCATAGGAATTTAAATCTGTCCATGTGATCTATAGACTTCAATGGAAGCTCTTGGTTCACCCTTATGCTGCATTTAACTAGCAGCAGCCGCCAAGCTTGTCCCTGTGATTCCATAAGTGAATGCTGCAGGTTGTTTAATAACCTGGCAAATTCACAGTAGCTTGTCAAATTATTACAGGAACAGTGTCATCACTAAACAAGCCTGATCACGGTTAATTACAATGCAGACTAGAGAGCAGCCACAATTGTTCATTAATTACAGGAAGCACCTCATTTAAATTTTATGGAAATTTACACTTGCATCCCGGTATGTCTGGTAAAAAAAAGTGATCCTTCATGCATTCACAGAAGAAAGGAGTCTGTGGTTTATGAAACATCACAGTAAATTGGGTCTAATCTGGTACTGAAATATTGGTTCACTATTTACTCTAATTTTCTAAGCATATTAGTGGTGAAAAATATCAAGTCAAACCCCACATCTTGAATTCCCAACCAAGAAAGGAAATGAGCTGGGCCTACAGTAACAACTTAATACATGATGAGGCTCAGTTAAGACTAAAAAGTAACTTTTCTCTGATTAAAAATAAAATATTTAATAACAATTAAGGGAGTATAAACCAGAATAACTATTTCTTATAAAATAATTACATAACACAATTTTTAGCTACTATACATCAGTTAACTTAACCTCCCCAACTGAAGGAAGTAGTTTCATATCTACTTCAAAAGCCACTGAGGAAAACAAAGTTAGTGAATGAAAGTCTTGATTTCCAGCTTCTGTTCTAAATCAAGCATTATTAACACACAAAAAAAGCACAGATGCCCTTGTAAAAGTCCAGTCACACACAGACTTCAAGGATTATAATCATTAAATACCAAAGGTATATTCATGAAAGAGTGTCAGGAATCTTGGGATTATTAAACAATAATGTTACCAAACCATCTGAAAATTCAGGGATAAAAGCAAAGGGTTAAAAGGAAGCAGGTAAGAACAGGAAGCGACTCCACCAGTCATGAATACTCATGAATATAAAAGTAGATCAGATATGGGTACTGTGTGTCTGAATGAAAATCCTTCCTAGGAAAAAGTATAAACAAACTGTTGCTCCTAAATCAAGGTGCCCAGGGGGTTATTCTCAGAATCAAGAGGCCAAACAGCAAATCCTTTGGCGGTTATAATGCCTGGCCCTGGGGGAAAGCCTGAGATTCAAGGGGGGAAAATAAATGACTCTGATGACCCTGGCAAGTCTTATAGTGAGTTCCCTGGAGTGTAGACTTGGACTTAAAAATAAGAAACGGCACATTCTGTATAGGGCAGGAGAGGGGGGAACCAAATACCAGACTACATTCCATGGCAAGAATGAAAGGACTCTAAGCTAAAAAACTACCCCTGGAATTGTTAGATTATGAAGAACATATTAAGTGTCAAGTTTATTATGACTGACATAATATGGATATGTACTAGATATTATTAAAATGTGTGGAAGCCATGTTTAGCAAGGAAGAGGAAAAAAAGAAGGAAATGGTTCAACTGGGTCCCAGCTAATTCACCAATTCACCATAGTTGACCACCTTTTGACAGATGCAACCTTTCCACTCAGTCTGCCAAAATGGTGTTGCAAGAGGAGGAATCCAATAAAATGAGCACTTTCATTTCTATGCCCAGGAGCTTGGTCTTCTTTGCAAAGCCCATGCTTAATTGCCAACTCCACAATCTGTTTAACTACCTATGACCCCGGAGTTTCACTTAAACTTGTAAATACACATTTTCTCCCTTGGTATGTTAAATAATGTGCTCCATTAGTCTCTTTTGGTTTTATTTCACACACTCACATCTGCAAAACCCATTGCTCTTTGCACCATACTCAAGGTTCAAAAACAAATTTTCCAAAAGCCACCCATGACAGACCATTCCAGGTGGTATGTTTGAAGACCATCAATTGTCCTATGCAAAGAGGTCAAGGGTCAGACTATTCCCAACAACAAGTCTTCCATCACTCTGCATTTATGTGTTACACACAAGCTGTTAACTTTCTGAAACTGGGAAATACATGGTCATGTTTCATATGTGTCACACCTGCTTTCCTGTTGCATCATAGCTATACACCACCCAGACAGTACCAGCTTGTGGCACTGAAGAGCTCAGGTGGTCTTCCCTAGTCCAAGAGCAGGTGTGCAAGAGAGGGTGTACCCTTCAGTACCATAAAAACTGAAACCTCCTCTTACCACCACTTCTACCTTCACTCCCACTATGAAGAAGTAATTTTAAAATTATTTTCTTTTCTCATGTGGGGTGTCTAAATCAGTAAAATGTTTTAAAATTGAACTCACTGTGCTCATCCCTCAAGTCTAAAAATTTTAGAAAATGATGCCAAATGGAAGCTCTAAAAAATACTGTGAGTTTGCCCAGACTAGGGAATGACATCCATGTTGAAACTTCAGCTTGTATCTTTGCATCATTGGCAAAATCCTTAAATAACTAAAGGTACATGGAGGTAGACAGATTAGTTTGGATAAGATGTCATGTTATATTTTTAATTTGCAATATACCAAACTGCTTTGATTGCCTCAAGACCACACAAAAAGAACTGAATTCCAAGTCAATACTTTCACAAAAATGTACTTTGCTAATAAATGTAATATTTCATCAGGGGACCTATCTCCCAATCCATGAAGAAGGAAGATACTTAATGAGCCTTATTTTTCTAATGCAATGCCCAGTTGAATGGCTTCCATTCTCCTGAGCTGGGAAGCCATAATGCAGGAAGTATGACTTGTTCCCCATGTGTCCCCAGTGCCTCAAACAGTGCTTAGCACATTTTGATGATGATTTTAAAAATGAGAGCTAATATTCCTGGAGTGCCTGTTGTGTGCCAGGCCCTATGCTAACTGCTAGGTATATATCAGAACATTTAATCCTCATAATCACCTTGTGTGGCAGATCTTCATTTCATACATGAGGAAGCTAAAGCTCAGTTAGGTTGAATGACTTGCCAAAGGGCTCACAGCAGCTTGTGTCACCTGCGCAGCCAGCCTTCAGACACCATGGTCTTCCCCACTGCAGCATATACTACCTCTTGGATAAATAAATGAATGATCTCCAGTTACAGAAAACTTATCCTGAAAAGAAGTTTTTGCTGCACATATGCTACATTGTTCCCTCTTTCACATTTGTCCTGATGGCTATCTGTCTCCTGATGTCATTGATAGATTTGTATGGCCTTCAGGGACCACCGTTTCTGTCACACCACCCCCAACTGATAAAACAGTAAGACTCCAACCTGGACTTCCAGCCTCTGGTCTGGCTCCTCCAGGTTTGGGCAGAAGTCTGCACCCAGCACTCTGCCAGCACATGCCACTGGAACCTGGGGGAATACGGCTGAGTTAGATAGATGCTGGGTGTGGAGGCTGAGAACTACACACACACACACTTGACCCAGGCAGAAGCAGGGGCACCCCAACTGAAGTTCTGAAACAGGCCATCATGGCTTCACAGGTTTTTGACACTTAGTAGGTCAAATGTATTGTGAAGAGTGCACATTCCAGTTTATTAACTATCAAGAAGGTAAATTCCAAGAAAAAAATCCATATAAATGTTATTCCCCCTTGTATCTAAGTAGCACACAGCAGGTAGCACAAAGCAGGCACTTAAATATCTGTTCAGAAGGAAGAGAGAAGGAAGGTAAAAAGGCATGGAGGAAGGAAATAGGAGAAGAGAAAAAGAAGCAGAATGACTGCTTGATATTTTTTCCTCTATCTTTTAATTTTCTTATGTGAGGATTAAGAAAATTGCATTCTATAATGCCTAAAGTTCTTTGCACTTTTAAAATACCTATTCAAATTTATTTTTCCTGTTCCTGGTAAAGGACAGCACAGGCAGAGTTATTTATTTACTATCATTAAATTTTATTTAAGAGTTTTATTTTGTGTCTAATAATAAAAATAGTAACAAATACAACTTTAATTTAGTGAATGTTTCTGTTTCTAGAATTCTACATTGAAAGCCACTAAAATTCCCTTTCAACACTAAGTTATTCATTTCATCCAGTCTCTCCACGGAACAACTTACTTTTGAAAGAAGGTGAAGGGGTTAGCTAAAGAACCTACATACGTAAACCACAGACACAGACAACAGTGTGGTGATGGCCAGAGGGAAGGAAGTGGGTAGGGCTGGGTAAAGGAAGAAAAGGGGAGCAACAGGGAGAAATCTGTAATAGTGTCAATAATAAAAATAAAGTTTTAAAAAATTAAGTTGTTTATTATCAATAGTCATTCTCATCCTGAAATACTGCCTACTGTAACTTGCTTACTTTGTTTTAGACTTTTAAAGATTTAGATTTGATCTAAACATATATTCTTCCTTTTAAAAAAATTTCTCTAATACTCAATTTCAAACATATACTATCTTCATTAATAATACACCTAACTATATGTATCAGAATCTCAACCCATCAATCAGATTCACCTCACCTGTGTCCTTGCCCTATCAAAGCCTTCCTTTGGTGTTTTGTTTCATTTTTTTTAAACTCCAATTAGGATGGCCTGTGCCAATCAATTTTCTTGGTTTAGAGATCACTTTTCAGCCAAGCATGCTGCCTTAGAAGGTATTTCCCTCTTTCTTTTGACCCACAAATCAGTTCACTTCTCCAAATTTAAACAATGTCAATAAGCTTCATTTTGCAAGTTCACTAATGAATATCACTAATTTTAAAAAAAAGCATTCAGCCAACTCTTCAAATATTTTAGATTTAGCTCTTCTATTCTTTTTAGTCTCATTCTTTCTTCCTGCCTACTGTCCATAATGCAAAATGGACAGAATATCATCTGTCTTTGAAATTAACCACTCTTTTCTCTACCCAGGAATTTCACCAGTGAAGCCCAAGAGGGAAAGGAAAGGGAGGTCACATTTACTGAGCACTTGGAAGGAGCCAGTCACCATATGGGTACCTTACATACAGAAATAACCTGTTTTTTCCCTTTCAACAATCTTATGGGATATGATCATCTGCATTTGACAAATGAAAAAAACTGGAGCTTAGAGGAGATAAATAGGTCAGAGTCACATGCTAAAAAGTTGCATAGCCCAAACTTAGAAAATGAGGAATAAAGACTGAGAATGTATTTCAAAGAAGTTAATGAAAAACATGTACTAGTTGCAATTAGTGACATCCAATCTAGGGGCATTTTTTGATGTGTCACATGAAAGAAATTACAAAGAAGACAAAGGAAATGAAGAAGGTGTTCCCAGCAACCAAGGCCTACTACTTGCTATATGGCCTAGGACAACATAAGCAATGTAAAAGTGAATTTATCCTCTAACTTGAAGAATGAGAAAGAAATGGGGCATGGAGAAGAATAGAGGCACTGAGCATTTGTGTTGTGTCACACAGAACAGTGCTGATTCCACTCCTCTGCTGACATACGGAAGGGCACTAATGAGTCATGCAACAGTAATTCTCCCTAGACTGCGCTAGAAAGATTGGGAAAAATTCACCTTAAAATATTCCCTATCAAAATGAACCCCCCCAAAATGCTTCCTATAAAACCTCAATAGCTGTAACTACTTAACCAATTAAAGCCAAACCCATGAGCCACAATGCATATACTGCAAATTAAGTGTAAACAATACTTTATTTTATGTACACAAAACAAATTCCCACTTACCTTAATATTATTTGACCATGTCACAAATACGAAGTTTCTAGTTCCTTTCCCCCCTCACAGAATGTGTTTTATAAATACTCTCAGTAGGAAAGGAGACAGTTAAACAAGTACAAGTATACTCAATTACAACCTCAGACACTTAGAAAGAAACAGTTCCTGAGAGAAAACAAAATTTCTGTGAATGAGTTGAAGAAAAATGTGTCAGGTTACTAGAGTGTTTCAATAATCCAAATCACAAAAAGGAATTAGAAGTAGATAGCACTCTCATAGTTAGAAGCCTATAATTTCAGAGCAGAAAAAACACCAACAAGTAAGTGTCCATAAAAATGGACTCCCATATTTCAACGATAAGAACATGGAGATTCAAACAAAACTGCAGTTTCACTGATGGGTTCATTGTCTAACAATACCCCTAACACCCACATCAACAATAAGTGTTATTAATTATCAGACAGATAAAATTTTTTTATGCAAAAGGCAAGTGGTATATAGTTCCTAATTCATCAAAATGTACCAAGGAAAATACAGAGGATATAAAAGTTGATAACCTAATTAGTTATAATTCAGCCCACCTGGAGAATTGGGCCTTTTGATTTAGAAGCCTTAGCTGTTAACCAGCTAGCTATAAAGCAATAAAAAAAAAACACAGAAAGAGCAGAAATAAATTGTCTAAATTCTTATTATCATTCCACTTTAAATAAAATAATAAAATATGGCGTATACCCAACCACTGTTTTCACTGGCACATAAAATTTAAATTGATTTGGGAAATTCCAGTTTTATCCACTTTCCCTCATGCTCGAGTATTCAGTGTCTATTTCAATGTCATACTTAGTAAAACTAAATTCTCTAATGATTTTTGCAAAATATTCACAGTGATTTTTATCTCTGAAGAGAAGGAACTTTTAAAATTCTTTTTTGAATCAATGCATATTTTACTTTCAAAGTAACAAAAACATTTAATTACATTAAAAAGAAAGGAAAATACTAAATTGATCAGCTAATGTTTCTAAACATTCTGCCACAGGTTTCATTAAAGGATGGTAATTGTCTAGTACTCATCTAAATTTCATTCTGCTGGTGCTGCAACAGGAAATAAGAGGCCTTGAAAGGGACCCTCTGGAATCCCCAGGGTAAGCAGAAGCTGAGTGCATATCTACTCTCCTGTACATACCTCAAAGGAATCATGGTGTGTGAGAGAGCTATTTACAACTTTCTCTGTGTATAATCAGCAGAAACAAAAGATATGACAACAAGCATAAAGGTCTCTCTCTCTCTTCTCAGGAGAATTCAGCAAAGGAAGGCCAGTGGGTATTCACTTCAGTGTCAAAAGGGCTTCCAGAAAATACATTTTCTGTGGGGCAGGGAGGAAATAAGGCAGGCTTCCTACACACACACACGTTCTTTGTTTACTGAGATCACACATAAAGACTGTTAGGGACAAGATTTCTGAAGAGAAGACAGAAAAAGCCCCACATGTAAATGGGAATCAGCATTCAAAATATCTGAAGCAGAGTGGAAGTATAAGGTATGTGTAATGAAGGGGACAAAGGAAGACAGAAAGAGGACAAACATGGTAACTAGGGAAATAAAATGTGCTACTGAGTAAAGGGCTTATAGAAACAGAGATGATTCTTGCACAACCAGGGCCTATTTGAAATTTAATTTTATTTTTAAACATTAAACATTCAGGTAGGCACTTGCCTGGTAGACACTATAAAAGTCACAGTCTAAATAAACAAACTGACTTCTATGTCAGCTCAAGTCTCTTTAGTTAGGCTGGCCACAAGCCCAGATCATTTCTGAAGTGTCTGTGTTTTGGTGGCTTTAGTCTAGCAATGAGGAGATGAGAGAAACTATCTCAACCCAAAAAGAACTTGGAAATGAATGGGTAGACAAAACTGATTTTCAGAAATAAATGGAAAGAGAAAACCCAAAACAAGTCCTCTCAGAGGAATCCGGGACATGGCTGGGTGCAAGCTCTGTCACATTTTAAGCCAGAGACAAGCACTGATGGAACTTCAGCCTCGTTTCAGTGGTCAGAAGATACCAAGCAGCAAAAGATAAAAATACTCAGATAAGAATTCAGGAAGACTATTAAGTGAAATGGATTTGACAATAAGCTAGCCAGGAGCCTATGTGAGAAAGAGCAGAGAAAGGAATAAATTAATTAACCACCACTATAAAGATGAGGATGTATGCTAAATACATTGCTACAAAATAAATGAATACAAAAATTGAAAAACAGAAAGGTCAGCGGAGTTGCTGGATGAGCAGTTAACTTATATCCTAATTTTTCAGGTTACAATTTAACCAGAAGACAACATTCCAAGCCTAAATTTTCTCAACCATGGAACCCCAGGCTATAACTCAGAAGGACCAACTACATGAACCTAAAGCTTAAGAATGAAAACACTGCTTACTGGTCACCATTACTGGTGAGTCAAAAGAGTATTTATATCCATTTTCCCACAGGGAATGGTCAGAACTGTGCTTAGAGGAGACAGTGTTGTGTCAATGGGTGCACGGTAAGGATGAGAGACATGTTACAAAAGAACCGAGTAGGACAGTGGACAGGTCCCTGTGGAGTCATCTCAGGACAATGAACTGCAGGATCAGGATGAGAGAAGAGAGAACAGAGAAGGGTCAGATATGTGATTCTACTACTCAGTAGGTTGACAGACATAGAAGATGACTTGGG